CTATTTGTTTCACTGTCTTGAGCTGAAGGCAGACAAAGCTATACTCTGTCACCCCTAGCAGAATGAAGAGAATCAAAGGATTTTCCCTTAAAAGGACTAATTTTCTCCTTGAATTATGAAAGTAATGGCTAGGTAACAGCCTGTGCTCTGTACCCAACTGCTTAATACCTTCTAAATCCTTCCACGTGGCTCGACTAGTCGCAGCAATTAGAGCTCATTATAGGCTCATAAGAGCTCTCATTTCAGGGATTACTTAATGGCCAATGAAATTTTATCAGACAGAATTATGAAAAAATCAAAATGTAACGAGGAGTATGTGGTGTGGGCACACGCCTTGCATCATTCCGCCTGGCTTGGATCATCTCTGTCTCTATCACTGCCCACACTTTGTTATCCCAATTACTCATCCACAGCCTGATGTGTGACTCTTATTACACCTGACTTTCTGCTACAGGGAGAAGAAGAAATATAATGTACATGAGATCACACACCCTCTGATCTGTACCCATTAGTACAGGCTTAGCTAGATAGATTTCCAGCTTATGTGGAACTGCAAGATCCAGCATGCCCTTCTACAGACCAGAGGGTACGATGAGATCTTACAGATCAGACAGTGAGTTCTAATTCATTGCTTTGTGTAAAATCACAAGTACTGTATAAATGACTTCACTTATAGTACAGAAATCCATGCGCAATACAAATTTACTGACAAAATAAGCCCATCTTTGTCATTTATCTTCTGGCAAGCAGCTAAAGAAGCTTTTGAAATACACATGTGGAAACTGTTGAACTACAAGACCTGTAATTCTGCAGAAGGACATGCTGGATCTTGCAGTGCCACATTAGCTGGAGATCCAGCTATGCCTATACTACTTTGCACAGGGAAGAGGATGTGTGATCTGGAATCTGGAGCAGTTGCTCATAGTAACCAATCAGCTTACATTTTTTAAAGCTTAACTGAACAAACTGAAGAGAGATACTGATTGGTTACTATGGGCAACTGCTCCAGATTCTGTCTGCTCCAGTTTTGATAAATTTCCCCTAATGCATTTCTGTCCCTGTAGCAGAAAGTCAGGTGTAATAGGAGTCATACTTAGAGCCCCACTTGTAAACAGCAGTATGTATTAACTGCAGCCAACACTGACACCCCTCATATATATGAAGTACAGTGCAGTGGTTTACAAAGGTGCATTGCACTCTGCTTGCTTGGGGATTCTGAAGCAAGCAAAGGGCTTTCAAATGAATTAATAAAAAGAAAAAGAAAAAAAAGCTGGTAAAAAGGCCCATTCACATGACCTGTCAGAATCATTTGTCCAGCCTTTCCTCCAATTGTGGTGTTCCCATTGCAGCATTTTAACCCATCTGTGGGCAAACCAAAAACCTCCCCTTGCAGTGGGGCGACCCCTGCACCAAAGGCAGGAGTGTCCCTAGTTTTTTTTCCTCCTGTGGCGGTGGAGGGACATGTTGTCCCACTGAGCTACTAGCAACCAGTGACGTCACTGGTTGCAAAGAGCTCGACGGGACCCGGCAAGAACACCCCAGGTTGCTAAGAGCTGGGTGGAGAGATGTATATAGCCCTTACACATCTCTCCGCTTGGTTCTTAGTAACCCAGGACACTCTGGCCAGAAAGGAGGCTGCAAACATTGTGCAGAAGAGCAGCCATGCCGCTCTGCCTGCCGCCTCCCCACAAGATGCTGGCTGAGGCAACAGCCCCAGGCTGCCTCATTATAACTGAAAGATTTAAGTGCTCGTTTATGCCTAGGGGACAGGAAAAAGAGATTTTTCTCACCTGATTCCCTCTCCCATCAGCTCCCTCAAGGCCTTTAGACTGGTCTCCGCAGCCTCTTCTCCCCCTTCTCTCTGGAGGCCTCAGGACCCATGATGTCATCACATCTAATGTAGGTTCCATGGACTTGCATTAGATATAATTATGCAGAGTGACAGTCCACAGCCAGGGCAGAGGGGAGGGAGGTGAAGTTTGACCACCATGGGAGTAGGGATCAGGTAAGTAACATTGTTTTTCTCCAGTCCCCTAGACATAAACTAACACTTGACCCTTGCAGTGCAGGGGTAGCCCCACTGCAAGGGGAGCTCTTTTTTTGGGGGCTCGAAGATGGGCTTAAGGCAGAGTGAGCTCCATGAGACACTCCACAATCCAACCTGCATTTTATGAATGGCACGAAAAATGCAGCCTGCAACATAGAGTAACATTGTGGTATCCAGCAGAGTGTATAGTGGTAACCATTCTCCACCTTAGAAGCCCAGGTATAAAGCAACAATTGGCTTTAAAGCAGGCATAAGGCTGCTTTTCAAAATATGCACATTTGTAAAACACAGCACTCTGCTTTACATATGTTCACACCCTCCTGCCTGCTGATTGGATAATTAAAGAGCAGCAGCACACTAATGTGAGTATCACTGTACTCTCTTCTCCTGTTAGGATGCTTACTGTCAGCACATGTGCACTCCAGAAGAGCTTGACTTGCTCAGAGTGCTGGCCCTCCCCCCTGTTTTGCAGGGCATTACAGGAGGATATGAAGACAGATTCAGGTACTTATACATGTTTCATTTAAAAAATACATGTCATTATTTTAAATGCATACATAAGTGCATTTATTGATTCTTATATTATCTGCCTGAAGTTCAGTTTTCTTAAAGTTGGAGCCTTTTCGAAAAAAAAAAAACAGTTTAAACCAAATGAATTAAAGCTGGCCATAGAGTGTTATATGGTTTGATTGAACCCCTTTTCCTGTCAATTTGCTGGCCAACGTGGCCTGCATGTAGAGGTGGAGGAAAAAATGAGCCATGTGAAAAAAAAAAGAATTCAACTACTGAGTACTATCATTACAGGTACTAACCCCATAAAGTTACCAAATACAATACTTTTCACTATAGTGGTCCTTTAATATGACTACATGCATAATGCAATTATAATGGGTGATTTATATGCACACATTAGAAATCAGGGTGCACACAGTTCGCACCATATGCACATATGGTCCAGCCTATTTTCAAATGTTTTTTACGACTGGCATTGACCTTCCTTGAGTCTAGAACGTGCTAATGGTTGTCACAAGATGTTGGATTAGCACATTTCTGGAATAACTCTCTGTTTACAATCCGCACATGCACCTTCCAGTAAGTACTTTCTAATGGAATCCTAATCACATCCAAATAGCTCAATGACCACTTTCAGAAGTCTAATTGGCATCCATAAATCCTGAGCTTGTGGAGTCTCAAGGCTGGATTTACTAAGGCACAGCTCCCAAGGAATTCCACAACGCGACATAAGTTCCCGTGTAAATGGGACTTACGTTTTTGGATTTCCCATTACAGTTTGCTTCAGTGACAATGGAAACCAAGGAAAATAGGGTAAGAGAATCTTCCCAGTGGAGACACAGTCAACAAAAAAACTTGACATAGGCTCTAACCCTTCCACACTTTATTTAAAACTAAAATGAAAAATGTTGCCTTTACATACACTTTAAAGAAACATTTTGAACCAGATTATAAATGAAATGCCTAGTTTTAGGTGGTATGATAGTAAAATCAGCTTCTAGATCTGTACAATCGTAATTATATTGAACTTTTTTTAAAGCTTATATCATTTACATTCATTAGGTAGTTTGGGGTTTAAAAAGGGACTTCACGTTACTGCTTTATTTCAATAAATGTACTGCATCTGTAAACTGCACATTCAGGCTTATTTAATAACGAAGAATGTACCTGTAATAAATAATAATATGCAGTTACTATAATATTGTTCACTTATTTGAATTTGGTTACTGAAATCTGATTGGTTGTTCTGTGATACTGAACTTTTTATGCTATTTTTCCTCTTTGCAGTTTATTTCTTAATATGCCTGCACATGTTATTTTTCCTGAATCCTGAACCTTACTTTATTTAACCTTTTTTTATAATAGCACAAGAACTATTGCTGAACCCAGTACAGATTACCTCTTACCAAATGATGCATTGCTAGAAGTTACTACATAATATGTAAATTAGTCTAATCCATTTTAGTTTGGTGCACAGTCCCTGAAACATCAGTGAGTAACAACACAAATATGTTTTCATTTTTTCAACAGTAAATGCTTAACTTGATGAAACAGTAAACTATCTTGTTTCTAACTTGTTTCAACCAAAATATGTACATAATGAGTAAATGTGCAATCTTAGAATACATTTCTATAAACAAAAACAATAATAATTGTTAGTAATAATAGTAATATGATTATATTTTGTTCTTGTAATAATCTGAACATGTAGTCAGGGTAAGACAGCTCACATTATTAAAAAAAACATTTGGTAAAATGATATAAGATAAAAGGCTATATAATGGTTATAATTAGTACAAGGAGATATTTTATGGAAATTTTATTTATGTAATTTACACACAACAATACAATGATCCTGCAAATAAAGAATACAAAGATCCTAATTAGGAGTACCTGCACCTTTGCCTAATTTATAAAAGGAGTTGAAAATGTTCACTGAGAAAAAGAGTAAATTCACTTTAATTATCCAATCATGTCAAAAAAAAAATTCTTACCTATTTATTTAATCTGCACAATTGAATAAATGAAGTGAGTTTTTTTTAAGTCAACAGCCTCAACTCCTTTAGTAAATCAGCCTCATAGTGTTCTAAAAGTAGCCAAGGCTGCTCTGTTACTTTGTGTGCTATGTGGGTAAACCTCAGTGCTGCTGCTCCCTGGAAAGTATCTTTTCTGTATCACAATGGAATTAACAAACAAAACACTTTGCAAAGTTTCCTCCCCCAGTTAGTTAGTTAACTTAGACAAGCTATCAAGTGGGCTCAATGGAGTGGAGGGGATTTAGCTGTGATCACGTGCTATTATTGGTCTGTGTAAAATGCCAGGATGGGGGTACACGTGGGTGACGCTAGGACCAGCCCTCTCCAGGGACCCTTTTGTTTAGCTATTCAACATAAGCACCTTCTGAGCCTCTGTGAGGCTCAGAGGAAACCTCAACTGAAAGAGAGTGAAAGCTGTCTGTCTTCCACAAGGGATCAGAGATGTCTAGGTCTTTTTATGTCGACTCTTTGATCATAAAGGACTCTCCAAGACCTGCACCACCTCTGCATGATCACCACCACCATCACCACCATGGACAGGACTTCTTTTTGCCAATCAGCATGCCCTCCCCTACAGTTATGTCTGTGTCTGCCCCGGTGTGCCCATCCAGGAAAAGTGGCAGCTTCTGTGTGTGCCCCATCTGTGTCAGCTCTCACCTGCACTCCTCCAGGAGCAGCATCCCTTTACTCAAGAGCCAGTTCCAAAGTGGAGATGCCCAGTACTGCCAAAGGATGAGCCAGCAGCCCACCCCAGCCATGGTCCACCCGGCACACCCGCCTGTCTGCAGTCCTTCATACAACGTGACGGACCCTCGCAGGTTCCACTGCCTGTCACTGGGTAAGATAGACATCTCCGACTCTCTGTGCTGGGAAATGGGCTAATTCTGGGCATAAGCATCAATTTGACGTGTGCTGGACTGCATGAAACAAGGCTACCCAGGCAGAAGGATGTTTAGAAAACAAGGGCACACATTCCTTCTAATAAATTATGCTGAATTGCTGTGGGGATCATTGATGGGGAATAATCCGTATTCTCCTATGGAGGATATATACAACTGAGTATGCCAGTGTGTTAACCCTTTACAGAACATAGCACATAATCTGCTGATTCTGACAATTATTGTATTAATACTGAGTATGCCAGATACTGTTGTGGGTCTTTTATACAACGCTAGTTTACATAAAATATGAATAGAATGGCAAGATAGTTATGTATAAGCTGCAGATCACGTTTGAAGAATATATATTTAATTAATACATTTGATGTACAGGTGGCTGACTGTCTGTAGATTTGTGCCATAGATTAATGCTGTCAATGTCACATTTAACCTAAAAGCAGTACAACTAATTTAGAACAGGCTGCACAACAAATATACTGTATATGTATATTTCTCAAGACTTGAGGAAGATGGACTTAACCATCAAAATGTTGTTAATAAAATGCTGATGCTTTGACCTTCCTCCGCTGC